CAAAAAAGTGGGGTGCAGGATCAGATCGGTACTTCATGCAGAAAACTCTGGCAATGTAAGTTGGGACCGGTACCCATACTAAAGGCAGGTAAATCCGCCCGACAGCGCACGTAGACAACATGCAAAAGGGGCAATCAACGCAAACGCAGTGGATTGCATGTGGGTGCAGAGTGCAGTGTTGTTCATACTCCAACCCCCAGTCTTATCGGAATGCGATTTTTGCCAAAAAACAAAACAGGGACTGCGGGCATACTCACAGTAGGACTTTTTCGACTGCGCTCTGGACGTGATTGCAGTCAGGTGCATGCATGAATTATGAAACAGATAGTAACGCAAATAACACGCTTCCAGACGAACGCATTCATGACAAACTTGTGACGCAGAGCACGATGCAAGCAAATCGGGAAATGACGGAATATCATTCAGCTGATAAACCGCCTGAACATTCCAACAAACCAAGATCCACCCTCGCGTCCACATTATTGGCAAGAGCCAAATGCAGAAAGCTACGTAGCACCGTGTTCGCGTTCGGAGGTGAACGCGAACATGTTCGCCCGAACGCGAACAAGTGCCCCAAACCCTCCGAACGCGAACATAAAAAATATATAATAAAAAAAAAGTTCTCAGAAAAATCTGAAAAAAAAAAAAAATGTTATGTAAATAACAATACAAGCAACTTTTGCCTTGGAGTCATGTTCAAATTCGTAGCCAATCACGAGTTACAAATCAAAAACCGAAAAACTTTTTTTTTTTTTTTACGAAAAAAAAGTTATGTTCGCCCGAACATGTTCGTGAACGCGTTCGCGCGGACGTGAAGGGGCGCGAACACGTTCGCCGTGCTACACAGGCAGAAAGTAAGAGGTCGAATAATCCTTTCTGTAGTATTCGACCTCTTTCTTTCCCCATTTGGCAACACATCTATTTACGTTGTTGGTCCCTTCCTAAGACTCCGGTATCGGTAGTATCCCCAGGGACCTCACGCCCGAAGGGGCTCGAGCCAAAACAAAGCCAAGCAACGGTCCACGGCTCAAGGACCAGACAGGGCCGAATAAGATGGCCGAAACCACAACACAGAAAACCAGTGTCCCGGGCCAGAGGACAAACACAGTAAACAGAACCAAATTCGAATTTCCTACCTCACACTCATCTAGGGTCGACTCCAACTAACGGCCAAAACCTCAACACACACAAACAGTGTCCCGCGCCGGGGGATAGACACAGTATCAAACTGACGAGATTCTTACACTCAAATATGGTCGACTCCAACTAACTAGCCCTGCACAATGCATACGTGTCCAGGCCATAATTACCCTCAGATAGGTTTAGAAATGTGCTAGTGTGCGTGTGCCCTGAGACCCCTTTTCTCTGCCGGGTCACACACACTATAGGCCGCTGTGAGGTCCAGTAAGAGGAAGGTGCCATCCGCAGTGCTACTGTCCATCCAAATCCAGTCAAGAAGGCAATGACCATGGGCCTCAGTCCACTAATCAACATTCTACATGCATTTGGACGGTTTCTTGACCAGGTGCTTTCGGACGAGTCCAACATTTTGGCTGTATTAAGGGTTTGCTCCACTACTCAACACTCCACATGCATTTGGATGGTTTCTTGACCAGGTGCTTTCGGATCGGACAAGTCCAACATTTTTTTTTTGTATTAAACCACTAGTATTTATTCTACATGCATTTGGACGGTTTCTTGATCAGGTGCTTTCGGACGAGCCCAACATTTTGGCTGTATTAAGGGTTCCTCCACTGCTCAACACGCCACATGCATTTGGGCCGTTTCTTGACCACCTGCTTTCGGATCGGACAAGTCCAACATTTTTTTTTTTTTTTGTATTAAAGTTACTTAAGCCACCAGTACCTCCGAGCCTGTTTTTTGCCGAGCATGAATTTCACTGCGCTCCAAGTTTTGCCGACCCTGGGTCCCACTCCATTTTCCTCCTGGTACTCTCACGGAAAGAACAAAAAAAAAAAAAGAAGAAGAATAAAAGTTGCGACGTGAAACTCACAAAAGCAGAAAAGAAGAAAAAAAGGACACAAAGCTTTGGCCATGGTTGCAGTTGTATACATTCTTGGAAGTGGTAGTGTGAGTGTGTGCCCTCAGTGAGGACATCTCAGCCCCGTGGCCAGGTCGTCAGATTCCAGAAAGACAAGAAAAAAAGAAAAAAAACAACGGAAACACGGATTCGGCCATGAAAATGGCTGGATACATTCCTCTAAGTGCCAGTGTGATCAGCGTCACAATCCTCTGAGGAAACACATCTTGCGCAGATCACGGATTCCACTGTCGGATTCCGAAAAGGGAGAGAAAAGAAAAAAAAAATGGAGACAGGGATTCGCCCGTGAAAATGGCTGGATACATTCGTCTAAGTGCCAGTGTGATGAGCTTTACAAATTACAATCCTCTGAGGAAACACAGCTAGAGCAGATCACGGATTCCGCCCAGCCTCGTTGGCAGGGGACTCATAGCAAACAAACGAGAAAGGAAAAAAAAAAAAAAAAAAAAACTTTTAAAATGTGACCGTGTTTGCTGTAAAATGCATTCTGGAGAGGAACTTAGAACCTTTCTTCGTTTCCTTCTCTTCTGTAAAATGTGACCGTGTTTGCTGTAAAATGCAAAATTTAATGACGACTAGTACAGCACATTGGCACCGTCCAGAACCGTTCGTTTCGGAGAAAAGTAGGGGGGGGGAAAAAAAACACCACACATGGGACAGCCCGTCACAGCAGCAGAGCAAAATTTAATGACTAGTACAGCACATTGGCACCGTCCAGAACCTTTCGTTTCGGAGAAAAGTACAAAAAAAAAAACAAAAAAAAAACACACATGGGACAGCCCGTCACAGCAGCAGAGCTCGGCCATTGCTGCAAAAATCTTAGTCACGACTTGCCACATGTCTTTCCCAAATCGCTGCACCACATTCAGCAGAGCTCGGCCATTGCCGCAAAAATCTTAGTCACGACTTGCCACATGTCTTTCCCAAATTGCTGCACCACATTCCAGAGGGTTCAACGACGAGAGAGGCATATCGACGCACACTAAGGATTGCTTTATGTATAACCATAAATTACAAGGGGGAGGGGGAGGGGGAGGATGAGGGGGAGGAGCAGCAACGTACCAAGCTCTTCGCCGGAGTCGAAATCGAAAAGCCGCACCCACATGTCATCACCGCCGGAGATAAGACGACCTGTTGATGGATAGAACGACGCTGACTCGATGGGTGCCTGCATGGTCAGGTTCTTGACAAACATATACCTGAAATGGGAGGAAAAGGGAGAGGGAGGTGAAGGGCACCACCAAGGCTAGTTAGAAATTACCCATCTATAACTTCATACACCGATCCAAAGGTGAACCTTGGTCCAAGGCATCCATTTCTTTTTCCCTTTTTGAGGCTTTTTCTCTTTCTCGGAAGTAAGTTTTCCCCCCTACCCACTTATCATAAAGGTGCAGTCAACATTGGACACAGGTAAACAATTCACGTTCCAAGCCATTGGACAGGTGAAAAATTCACGTTCCAAGCCATTGGACACAGGTAAAAAATTCACGTTCCAAAGCCCCCTAATTCCCCAAAGTGCCAAGCTCACAAGTACAGCCAAATACATTTCGACCAAGGTTCTCAATCTTCCCCCCCCCTCGAACATACATCATTAGTTTGCCGGAAGGAAAAACCAAAAAAAAAATGGAGAGCAAGGTACGTAGAGACGAGGAGTGTCATTGGGGGTATAGTCAAGAGGAAGGTACAGTGAGGGTTGGCAATGCAGGCCAAACAGGTAAGGACAAATAGGATGATAGCTGGACAAAGGTAGACTGCGGCCCAAGGAACTGCAGGGGAGGCCCCTCCCCGCACCCCGGCTCTCCGAGGGTCCCCCTGCTGCATGTCTGGGCGCTGCTAGGAGACCTCCCAACCAGCAGGGTGGCCCCCAGAGAAAGACCATGGTTTGGGGGGGGAGGGGGGCGCTTTTCGCAGGTCCCCCTTGGTAGACGATCAATGCCACAAGGGCTAGGCGGTTT